GTTCTAAAGGGTCCAACAAGACCTGATCCGTCAGGACCAACAGAGAGCCACAGCAGATGTAAAATGAAAAAGAAATAAAATAAAACTATTGATTTACATCCAACATGGCTGCCTAATGTCTGCAACATAAAGGAACAGGAAGTGAGTTTTATTATGAAATTATTCTGGTTCTGGACAAATGTAAACATCCTGGAAGCTTCTGTTGTCTTCATCTGTCCATTAAAACCAGTTGAAAACAGCAGACAGGTGTGTTCAGGTGTTTCCTTCACCTCTGCTGCCCCATCAGGTCAAACAGCTGAAGGTCTACCTGAACCGTTTCAGACCTGGACCTCTGGACCGGTTCCAGGAGTCCAGGCTGAGGCCTGAAGTTTCAGCAGACTGATTTTCTGACACGAGCTGAACCATCAGAGGAACCAGCTCCACCTGAGTCTCTGATGAGGGGAGGGTGGTCCTGGTCCCACCTGTGTGAAGGTTCGAGTTACATTTATTTTATTTATATGAATTATTTCACATAAATACCTCCTCCTGTGGCAGCTGTTCTGATGAAAAGTTACCTGTTATGGTTGTAGGTGGATCAAATTACTTTAATGTTCAGGATTCACACCTGAGCGACTCACTGGGCTTTTATTTTGAAAGAACAACCTGTTCTTTGCGCATGCGTGATGATTTCAAACATTTTCCCTCAGTGCAGTCTGACAGATTAACTATAAAAATATGAATGTAATAGTTGTATTAATGATTACTTATCTTGTTTATCAACGGATGTTAATATTTAAATATGTCTGCATGAAATTTATAAAAAAAACAATAATTTCAAAGTTAATAATTTAATGTGAATTTAGTTTTAAATTATCTTAATGTTGCAGCAATAATAAAATATTCAGTTTTTCAAAAACAAATGATTTTTTTCTTGAAGAAAAGTTTATATTTAACAAAAACAATTGTATTTATGTAGCTAAAACCTTTACATTTTTACAAGGAAAAGATTTTGTTAGAAACCTGTTTTAAACAATAATTTATTAGAATTTATAAAACCTAAACAGCTCTCAAGTTTTAGAATCATTAACTTTTATATTTACCTAAACTATCAGGGCTGTAGTTCTTTAAATTTAAAACATTTTATACGTTTTTCTGTTTAGTTAGGTTAGAAAATATTTATAATTTTTACTGATTTGTTCAAATATTTATATTTTTTAAAACGTGACAAAAGTTAAAAGATAAAATAAATCAGAAAAAAGCAGGAATATGTTTTGTTTTTTTCAGAAAACTTTGAGACAATAAAAATCCTGATACTGGTTTTTATAAAGCAAATATTTAATAATCAGATGTTTTCAGAATAAAAAATACTGCAAACTAACAGGAGAAAAGCCATTCACACAGACTTGTTTACACCACGTTTAAATATTTCATCTTCTGTAGAAAAAAGGGATTTTTTTTTACTTTTAGACACAAAAATGAAGAAAAACTGATGTTTAAAAAACAAACAGCTGATTCTGTTCATCAGATGGACCTGCTGTCGTTTCAAACACTTTCATTTTTATACATTTATAGAAGAAACACTGTTGAACATTATTTCTCTTTAATAAACATTTTCTGTTTCGAAGTTTGGTTTATTCAACAGAAAGAAAATTATTAGTGTTGCCAAATGTCTTTGTTGATCTGTAAATATTTACTGAGTTTAAACGGTTTCTGACATGATGTGAAATAAAAACGGACGAGGAACAAATGGATGGACTCGAACTTTCACAGATTAAAACGTGCAGAGAATAAAACCCAAACAGAACCAACGGACGATAAAAGAGAAGTTCTTGTTTCCTCCTGCAGCAAACGAAGGAAGGATGGGAACACCAGGAGACGAGCAGAGGGTCCGCTACGGGAGAAACCTGCTGCCAGCAGGAAGTCGATCTGAATTACTCAGATTTAACCTGAACGTGCAGAAATCAAATCTGAATTTAAAGTTTTGTTTCTGAATTAATTTTCTTTGAAACTGTATTTTGGTTTATTAAAACTTCAGTTTGACTACTTTCACTTTCAGTTCCATAATTCAGATTTTTGTGTCACATCCTGGTCCTTGAGAAAGCCAGGCAGAGTAATCAAACACAGATCCACAGATTTATGTTTCACTTTGGTGAAGTTTCCCTTCTGGATGTAACAGAGTTGATGCAATCCACTGTAAAAGTGACAAAAACACACAAAGTTATTTTATTGTAGTGATTAATGTTACCTATATGTAGAAAATGTTACATTTACATGATGACATGGATCACATGTTGATCAGATGCTGCTGCTGACTGATCCATGATGTCATCATGTAAATGTAACATTTTCTACATATAGGTCAAATTAATCACTGCAATAAAATAACTTTGTGTGTTTTTGTCACTTTTACAGTGGATTGCATCAACTCTGTTACATCCAGAAGGGAAACTTCACCAAAGTGAAACATAAATCTGTGGATCTGTGTTTGATTACTCTGCCTGGCTTTCTCAAGGACCAGGATGTGACACAAAGATCTGAATTATGGAACTGAAAGTGAAAGTAGTCAAACTGAATTTTTAATAAACCAAAATACAGTTTCAAAGTAAATTAATTCAGATACAAAACTTTAAATTCAGTTTCAGTTTAGTAAAATTCATTTTCAAACCAATGAATTAAATTCAAATTATGAACATTCAGATCCAATCGGAACAGTTCTGATCCAGTTCCTGCTGGAACAACATTTCTCCCACAGTCCGTCTCCTCCTGACCCCCCAGCACTGAGCTCTGATCCACTCAGACTCAAAAACAGGTGAAACTGGAAGAAAGAGTTTTTAGTGTAGAACAGCTGAGTCTGGTTTCTGAAGTGCAGCGGATCCAAACTGGTCCAAACTGGTCCAAACTGGTCCAAACTGGTCCAAACAGTGAGCACTGGTGGAACCGTCCCAGACCCTGCAGTGGGGGGTCAGCTTGTTGACAGTGAAGCGGTGCTGATGACAGCACGGCCTCAGTAAAGAGTCCTGCTGGCTGTAGTGTGACCCTCCAGGAGCTGTGGGACCCCTGGAACCCTCCAGACCCGACCCACAGGGGGGTTCTGACCTGGAGCGAAGCGTGTAGTGTGACTGACCGGACCCAGACCGGGACTAAAACCAACGAGTGCTTCAGTTAGTGTCGTTAACGATCACCACCACCATGTGCTCCTCCTCCAGCCCCCCCACAGTCCTCCGGGCCTCCTGCAGGAACTGCTGAGAGAACTCCCCGGGGGGGAAGGCGTACAGCATGGCCCCCGGCCCGCCCTCCTTGGCGGCGGGCAGGCTGACCACGCCGGCCGCCTCCTTGTTGCGCAGGTACGTGACCAGGTGACGCAGCAGGCGCACCTGCAGGCCCGGCTCGGGGCCCGGGGCCTGCCGGTCCACGGGGCCCTGCAGGGCCAGCAGGATGGCGAAGCCGTCGGGCCGGCCCAGCTTGACGCGGCGCAGCACCTCCTCCAGCCGGGCCTGGTCCATGCGCAGGCGCTGGGCAATCTTCAGCTGGCTGGGCTGGTTCTGGTTCTGGTTCTGGTTGTGCAGCTTCATGACGGCGCTGAAGAAGGAGGCCCCGCCCTCCAGCAGGTACAGGTCCGTGGGGAAGCTGCTGTTCTTCAGGGCGAAGAAGCCGCGCCACAGCTTGGACAGCGCGCTCTGGGCGAACTCCGACAGCGTGCTCGGACACAAGGAGGTGTCTGTGGGCGGGGCGGCGCCGGCGGGGGAGCCAGGGACCGCCCCCTCGCCGCTCCGGTGGTGGTGGTGGTTGTTCAGGTGGGCGCTGGAGGACCGCTTGTGGTGGTGGCCCGACGGCAGCTCTTCTTCGGTGGTGCCGGAGTGGCGCGCCGTGCCCCCGCCGTCGGGGGAGTGGTCTCGCGGTTCTGTGGTGGAGTCGGGGGCTCGGACCCGAGCTCGGTCCGGACTGGCCTCGGGGGAGACGGCTCCTCCTGGACCTCGGACCTTGGACCTGCCTCTGTCCTTGTCCTCGGACTGCCTGTCGGGGGACGCGCTCCGGCTCCTCCTCCTCCTCCTCTCCTCCCGCTCCTTCAGCCAGCGCTCCCTGCTCCTGCTGCGGCTCCGGACCCCCCTCCTCCCGAACGCCTCCACCCCTGCGGGCCGGCGCTCCAGGGTCCGGGTGGGGCTGCTGGGGAAATCTGCCTCCAACAGGGCCCGGTCCCGGTCTCTGAGGGACAGGAGGCTGTGAGGGGGCGGGCTGCGGTCCCTGGCCCCCCTCAGCTCCCGCTCCAGGCTGCGATGGCGGCTGTACGCCTCCCCCAGGAGCTCGTAATGAGAGGGGAGCACCACGGGGGGCTGGTAGCCTGGAGGGAAGGGCCGGGAGGGGCTCTCCTCCACTTTAGCAAAGTCCACCCTGAGCCGGTGCTCCGGACCCCCCAGAGGAAAGCCCCTCATCTGGGTGCAGGCGGCCTGAGCGGCGTCCAGACTCTCGTACTGGATGTAGGCGAAGTTGTCCCCCTTCACGTAGTCTATGTTCCTGATGCTCCCGAAGCGATCGAACTCCCGGGCCAGGGCGGCCAGGGAGTTCCCGGGTCCCAGACCCCCCACCCAGAGCCGGGTGGTGGGGTTGGCCTTGCCGTAGCCGATCTTTATGGGGTTCCCTCCGATGGGCCGGCCCTGCATGGCCACCTTGGCTCGGTGGGCCATGTCCAGGTTCTGGAACTTGACGAAGGCGTAAGCCCCGCCCTGTCCACGCGCAGGACGTTTGATCACCACGTCCTCGATGACGCCATACTTGTCGAAGCCCCTCCGAAGGGCCGCCTCCGTCACGTTCCCGTCCAGGTTCCCGATGAACAGGTTGCTGGTGGCCCGCTGGTCGTCCTCGGGCTTCAGGTCCTCCACCACCGGCATGACGGGGAGGCCGTAGGGCCGGCCCCGCTCGTCCAGCATGCCGTAGTAGTCCAGCAGCCTCTCCCGGTCCCGGCTCAGGGCCAGGCTCTCCAGGGCGAAGTGTCTGGCTCGCAGCTCCCGGAGGTTGCTGACCCCCGGGACGGGCGGGGACAGGGAGCGCTGCCGGTACGGGTAGGGGGCGTGCAGGGGCAGGAAACCCACGTCAGGCGGGGTGACGCTCCGCCTCCTCACGTACATGGGCTCTACCTTCAGCTGGCGGTCCCCCAGGACCAGCCTGGAGGACTTGGCGTGCCGGGCCTCCTTGGCGTCCTCCGGGTGGCGGAAGTTGACGTAGGCGATCCGTCCGAGCTCCGGGGTGTGGGACAGCTTCACGCTGACGTCCCCGAACTTTTTAAACTCGTGGAACAGGGCGTCCTCCACGTCCTCGTCCGACACCTGCGAGCCCAGGTTGCTGATGAGCAGCGTCTTGTACTCCACCGTGCCCGGTCTGGCGGCGGGCAGCTCCGCCGCGGTGGTCCGGAGCGGCGGGCGGCCGAGGAGGCTCAGCTCGTGTCGGTGGTGGAGCTCCAGGGCGGCCGCGCGCTCCTCCCGGAGCCGGGGCTTCTCCCGTTCCCTGCTGCGGCTCCGGCGGTGGTAGCTCCGGCTCTCGGCCAGCAGCAGCGCCAGCGGCGGGGGAGGCAGCTCCTCTCTGCGGGCGCTCTCCCGCTCCCGCTCCCGTATCCGCTTAGCGATGGCCCTGGACGGGCTGCTCTCCCTCCCGGCCTGCCGCTTCATCTTTCACCGGAGGATGGAGCTGAAACTTGTCGGTGCCAGCAGCGGGGATCTGGACGGCTTCGGTAGAGACACGGTTCCACGGCGGCCGGGGATTTTTGGCACATTTACGGTGAATAAAGGTTAAAATAATTTAAAAACAAACACAGCATCAGAGGAGCTGCCGCAGCGCCGCCATCTTGGACAATAGGAATGTGCGCTTTCCCAGAGGACCGCGAACGTCATGACGTAAAGACGCCGA